GTACATACTATGTGAACCTTCCTGACGGTCGTGTGCAAACTGTGGGTTACTGGGCCGATGGTAGTGGTTACCACCCAACAGTGACCTACCAGGGCACTGCTAGTTATCCCAGTTATGCTCCTTCTTACGGCTACCACTGATATTCATATATATTTCATTTACTCTTCTTTAACCATCATTAAGTAAAGTTTCCTCGTAAGATCAACAAAAATGGTTGAAATATACTTTAGACATTTTTTCAGGCTAGAACAGAATTACTTTTTACTAAGCTAATTCTTGCAGTAACTATTATCAAGAGCGACTAAGCCACAAAATGTCGTAAACTCAACCTGTCTCGTAAGGATTGACTACTTATCTCGTGTACATTTTCTTGGTTCAGTAAATTATATTAATACTATTAATAAAAATAAAAACATAAGGTAATAAAGTTTTCTTACTCTATTATTTTAGTCAGTTGTTGTAGATCGATTAAATAATCTTTTTCACAACTTCCAGGAAATTCAGTGATGCAAGTATTGACTTGCTCAGCAGTTGAAGTGTATAATAAAGACTCACTGGAATCAAATGTACAGGACGGAATATATCCACTGAAGTCAATTTTTTGTCGTCTTTTCCATAGTCTGTAGTTCACCCTCTCTCTTTATCTTTCATCGTCCTCTCTAAATTTTTCTTCTCTGTTTTTATTCTTAGAGTCCATTGTTCTGCTACATTAATCCCCTGTTCATTATTTTCTTGCAACGTTTGAAGTATATCGTCCATTTCCTCCTCCAAATCTAAAATTCTAGTTACACATTCTTCTCCACTCTTAATTAGGTCCACACTTCAGACATTATGAACTCAAATTGTTGTCTCCTGTCCACATCCTCTCTCTATCTCCATTCCTTATATTTTTTATTTGTGACTCCTAAGCGGCACATTTATTGTGAATCGGAGGTCGTCTTGAACCTATAGTGTATACAATGGAAGGATTACAAAGGTAACACTGTGTCTGTATCAAACCTTATTTGACACAGGTATATATACTGGACAGCAGAGAGTCATTTTATATATTAAAGTCTCGTTATATGGTTAATTAGATGTGTTTCGTTAACTACATGTTCAGAAAGATGTATTCCCAGTACCAATAATCCAAGACAATTGTACTATTATACACACAGTGGCTGTACCTCAACACCCTCAAGAGAACCAGGAGCTGTAGTTGAACACTCTCTTATGGCCCAGGAGCTGGAACTCAATCCAGTCAAACACCGTTTAAATTAATGGCTAATCAACGTATATCGCTCTTTGATACTACACTGATTTCTTTCTCATAATCTTGTATACATAATTTTCATCTGTTACGTTGGAAGATGTGGAGACAGGAAGATAATAACTGTTCTTAGGAAATTAAGTTTGACTGTTATTTCAAGGACATTATTGTTGATTTTCTAGGCTAGAGGAGGTGCTAGAAAATAATAGTTAAATAATTTATAGAGAGCAGCTTGAATTAATCTTAATTTTCTGACTTGTGGGATATATAATAAAAATTATTGTCTCCTACATGGCGAGAAAGATTTACATACAAAATAATATTGTGTGGACTCGAAGCTGTATGACTTTCCAAGTAATTTTTTAACTGTCTTCGTATTTAAAATAATATTAAAAGATAAAATTTTTTTGAAAACATACCAAAGCTACAGTTATTGGCTATAATATTTTATGTAGGGCTTTATAAAGGAAGGGAATTGTTCCAAATAGATACTAGCAGATCTAAAAACAAAAATACGGTATTATTATTATTATAATTACGGAGGAGTGCTAAACCCGTAAGATTATACAGCGCCTGTGAGGGGGGGGGGATGGAAGGTATCCAGGCTCGACTCAGGGAACTGGCGCACAGATCCAATTCCCTAGATCAAGAGCCCCTCACCAGCGTCCAGGAACCTCCCCTGAGGGGCAAAAATACGGGTAAAAAATTCGATATAAAGTGCATTAGCTCTCCCAGACTATATCGATTAGGCTACACTTCTAGTTATGGTGTATAACGTCAGAACTCAGACCAGTGTGAGAACATTGTTAATGGCATCTGTAATGCTGGACTGGAGATGCAAGACAAAGTAATCACCTCAAGAATGTTAGGAAAATATAAGAAAAAAAATATCGTAAGCTAAATATTGTAAACTATCAGCTTTTTAACTGTTAGATATTTTCTTTCGGGAATGTTTCTATTTTTTATATATATAAAAAAGTTGTCTATATGGCATATCTTAAGTACATATTTTAAGGTATTTATGACATAAAAATGTAAACCAGAGTGTGGAAAAAATAAAAAAAAAAAAAAAACCCAAGACCTTCATTTTTTAATAATACATCAGTAAGATAATGGAGTCAGAATATATAGTTTTGTTAGTATAGAGTTGTTACCCACAATTCTTTAGTGACGGGATAAAGATAGAAATGTTAAAAGCAGTGGAAGATATAGTTTTGGAATGGTTAGTTCTTTTGTTTAATAAATGTATGGAAGAGGGTAAGGTTCCTTTTGAGTGACAGAGAACATGCATAGTTCCTTTGTATAAAGGGAAAAGGGGTAAAAGATTAAAAATTATGGGGGAATAAGCCTGTTCGGTATGCCTGGTAAAGTTTATGGCAGAGTTATTGAAAAAATTAAGAGTAAGACGGAGAGTAGGATAACAGAAGAACAAGGAGGGTAGGGAAGGTAGATCAAGTGTTTACAGTGAAACTTATAGTTGAACAGTATTTAGATAAGGGTAAAGAGGATTTTATGGCATTTATGGATCTGGGAAAGGCGTATGATAGGGTAGATAAGGATGCAATGTGGCATATGTTGCAAATGTATGGAATAGGAGGTAGGTTACTAAAAGCAGTGTAGTTTTTACGAGGATAATGAGGCTCAGGTTACAGTATGTAGGAGAGAGGGAGATTATTTCCCAGTAAAAGTAGGCCTTAGAGAAGGATGTGTGATGTCACTGTGGTTGTTCAATATATTTATAGATGGGGTTGTAAGAGAAGTGAATGCTTGGGTGTTGGCAAGAGGTGTGAGGTTAAAAGATTAAGAATCTAACACAAAGTGGGAGTTGTCACAGTTGCTCTTTGCTGATGACACTGTGCTTTTGGGAGATTCTGAAGAGAAGTTGCAGAGGTTAGTTGATGAGTTTGGTGTGGTATGTAAAAGAAGAAAATTAAAACTGTATATAGGAAAGGGTAAGGTGATTATAGCAAAATAATTAGGTAACGAAAAGTTAGATATCAGATTGGAAGAAGTGAATATATTCCGATATTTAGGAGTGGACGTGTTAGCAGATGGGTCTATAAAAGATGAAGTGAATCATAGAACTGATGAAGGAAAAAAGGTGAGTGATGCACTGAGTCTGTGGAGACAAAGAACATTACCCATGGAAGCAAAGAGGGGACTGTAAGAAAGCATAGTTATACCAACGCTATTATGTGAGTGTGAGGCATGGGTGGCGAATGTTGCAACAAGGAGGCTGGAGATAGTGGAGATGTGTCTGAGGGCAATGTGTGGTGTGAATATAATGCAGAGAATCCATAGTTTGGAAATTAGGAGGTGCGGGTTTACTTAAAGTATTATCCAGAGGGCTGTAGTGGAAGGAAGGTAGGGTAGGGGTCGGCCTAAGAAATGTTGGAGGGAGGGGGTAAAGGAGGGTTTGTATGCGAGGAGCTTGGACTTCCAGCAAAAATGTATGACCATGCAAGATAGGAGTGGAGACAAATAGTTTTTAGGACTTGACTTGCTGTTGGAGTGTGGGCAAGGTAACATTTATGAAGGGATTCAATGAAACAGGCAGGCCGGACTTGAGTCCTGGAGGTGGGAAGTTCAGTGTCTGCACTCTGAAGGAGGGATGTTAATGGTGTAGTTTTATAACTGTAGTGAAATGCACCTCTGGCAAGACAGTGATGGAGTGAATGATGAAAGTTTCTTTTTCGGGATACCCTGCCTTGGTGGGAAATGGCCGATGTGTTAATAATAATAATAATAATAATAATAATAATAATAATAATAATAATAATAATAATAATAATAATAATAAACAGTCTGTTAAATAGGGTGAAATCAGAATGAGGACTAGTCTCATTAACTGTAATCTGCATCAGTGAAGAAGGAATAAAAGAGACATAGGTAAATTCACTGATGATCGGCTAATGAATTCAAGGGAGGATATTATAAAAGTTCAAGAGTATCTGGACAGGATAATATTGTGGTTGGAAAAGAGACAGGTTGCGATTCAGTGCGGACAAGTGCAAACTTCCAATCCTAGGAAATAAAAACAATCCTGGCACCTATGAACTAAATAATGTAGAGTTTGATCATAGAGGATTTAAAAAAAAAAAAGAGTAGAAATGTGGAACCAAGATAACAGTTCTTAACTGTCCGTGATAAGGCTGATAAAGTGCTTGGATTTATATTAAGAACTGTCTATGAAATAAGACATGGAGAGTTCTACAACCCTATACATCAGTAGTAAGAGGTTAAAAATGGTGATTAATACGATAAACACAGTTTAATAGCTGTGGAAGACAGTGAAAGGATTACTAAAGCACTTACAGAAACAGGTGAATAATACCAGCATATCTCCTTGTGAGTTGCATTTTAGAGATTTAGTGTAGTATGATGTCACTTGACAGAAAAACTTCAAACAAATGATTTCCATAGGAAAGTTTGTATATGGTACTGGTATTTGTGAAGTGTAGTAATTTAATTAATTTATCATACAGAATTGTCAGCTTAATTACATCACATTACTTACAGGAGGAACTTGGTGACAGTGCGACCTTAGTAATTCAGACACATTTAGATAGTGTGTGACTGATTACAATTATCTTGCATAATAATATGTGTAAATTACTTAGCATAACCCAAAAAATCAAAGTAACTTGTTTCCAATTTGGTCCTTGAGCTTGACTGACTGAGAAATGTGAGGCTGGTGACTGGGTGTTGCCGGAGGTATAAAAGCAAGCTGGAGGCCAGGGAGGAGACAGTGTCTGCTCACCATCACATAAGTTAACATGTTCACCTCTGTGAGTATTGCCCAGCTTGGCAACTCAGAACGCTTCTCAAGTTCACTAAATAATGTGCATGTAAAAGGGTTGTATAAATTTTTATTGTTTATAATTATAAAAAGTTTTGTGATGCACTTTCTTAGAAAGTGCACTTTTTATGAAAATTAAAGGTGCAGGCTCATAGCCTTTTATCTTATTTTTTAAAATCCATTACAGAAAAGTTTTTTACATGTTCACATCTGCACTTTTCGTTAGCATTTAATTTAAGGTAAAACGGTAATTGAAGGTCAATGTTTCATTCTTGAAACACTTTACACTGATAATGTGATTGCATTTTTTATAATCATAAGTACGAGACTAAACATTATTTTATGGGATTAATGAATGTTTGAGACTTTTATTTATAAAGACCGCATATTTCTTATTCCTTCAGCACAGAAACTCTTATATCTTTATCTGTACAGGTGTTGTTGATGTGCATGCTGGTGGCTGCTGGTGTGGCTCTTCCAGTGGGCTATGATGTAGGTATTTAGTTACTGTGTTGTATTAATTGAACTAACATGAGCAATGTTTGTGTTAATTACGAGTGGCACTAACCTTGTATATTCTGTTCCAGGTACCCATCCCTTACAACTTTAATTATGGGGTGAGCGCCGGAAGCACCATCTTTGGCCAACAGGAGAGCGGTGATGGTTCTAACGTCAAGGGTACATACTATGTGAACCTTCCTGACGGTCGTGTGCAAACTGTGGGTTACTGGGCCGATGGTAGTGGTTACCACCCAACAGTGACCTACCAGGGCACTGCTAGTTATCCCAGCTATGCTCCTTCTTACGGCTACCACTGATATTCTCCTAATGAAACACTTCAAGTTTCACGCAGTTTAATACTCATAATTTAAGTTTCCTCTTGATATAATAAATACTGTGAAAATGTATTTTACAGATATTTGTCTTGGCTAAAATTCGGGTACTATACGATTAATTAAATTAACTAGATTAAATATATTAAGAAGGGCAAGTTGGCCAGAAGATTCATTGAATATATTTTGTCTTACAAGTCCTGACAACTGGTCTCGTGCACCTTTTTTCCTGCTTCTGCAAATTACGTTTATGTTAATAAAAATATAAATATTATGTTTTATATATTTTAAAAAATCCAGTTATTTTAGCCAATGGTGTAAATAGACTGAATCATTTTTCTCATAAGCTTCCTCCTCGGGGAAGGTGCTTTGATGTCCAGTGAGGGGGTTTTTGATCCAGTCAATTAGCCCTGTCCTCCCTCACTCGCTCAACGCTGTGTGACCCCCTACTATTTTGGCGCTTCCTAATAATAATATTAATAACAATAATATGAATAACAATAAATAATAATAATAATAATAATAATATTAATAATTAAGATTAGAAGCCTACAGTTGGTCCAAGAACTAGGTACTAACATTTTGTTAGCTCAGCAAGTTACAGTAGCATTGAATTATTTACAAAATTACTAGTCAACACTAACAGTAATGTGCGAAGTGAGTCATATATATATATAGCGATGAAGCAGTACATTCATTGGTACACAAACAATGCACTGAGGGGCTGCTGAAGTTGTTCTGTTGATAAAGCAAGTTACAAAGGTTACGAGTCATTTACAACAGGCAAAGTCATGGTATTTTTTTTCCAGAATTTGTTTTAATGCAACATTGTGTATGAAATATTGAGACATTTATTTAAGAGTTGTGAGTGCGTTATATCTAGATTCCTAGATTTTTTACGCATTCATCCACGCAGTGACTTTATTTTTTATTTAATAAGCTTGGATACATCAGATGTGTGCTGCTACCCTATTTCACACAATAATTTCACAGTGGGAACAAAAGCAGTCTATAATATGTATTTCAATAACATACTACTATGTAGAAAGCCATTGTTTCGTAGAGCATTTCGGGCAGATTAGGTCAATTTTGTCCCAGGATGTGACCCACACCAGTCGACTAGCACCCAGGTACTGATGGGTGAACATTGGACAGAAGGTATCTTAAAGAAACACGTCCTAATGTTTCCAGCGATACCAGGGATCGACCCCCAGTCCTCAGCGTGTGAGCTGAGTGAGCTATCGCGGCTCACCCATAAAATAGGGCTCATAAAAGATGTTGAAATCCGTCAGCCTGATCTGGGAGACTTCATCAGAGCAATGAGGATATCGTCAAGTATTCCAGTAAGGGCTCATCAGCTACGGCAGCTTCAAGGTTACCTTCCAGCATAACTGGAGTTACTATCACTTGGGAACTGTCATCTCTCAGGAGAGTCTATCCCATACACGGGAGAAATGGGATTTTATGACTTCATCTCCATCATTCCAGAGCGAGGGCAGGATAAATTATGCACAAGAGGCATAGGATGATGTGATAATAATTCTGTCAAGATTTACACATAGTAAAGTTTATAAAGCAAATATATAAAGGTATTTATAGCCTAGCCGAAACCTGGTGATGCTAACATACAGGTTTAAGTTGAATTTCCTAGATGAGCCATTGACATTGATTTTTTCTGTATAATTGTCCTCAGGCCACTAGTTACAGCCCAAAGTTATAAGACTTCCGCCTATATGGTATACGAACTTGCTAACTTATCAGTTCTATAATACAGTTGAAGGTCAATAATGCGAGAGATAATCTGCAGAAAGTGGATTCTGAATCCGCTGTTTATAATTTTACGGTACATGAGTATAGGCTCTGACACTAAGATGTTGCAATTGTACTTCATGAGAATTAGAGCATTTATAGATGATGGAGAATCGCTTATAATTAGTGTCATGATTAGACACAAAGACGCATCTGAGTGCAAGGAATTTAGTGAACAATTCAGTGAGTGGAACCCCCAAGTGTTAATGTATCCGTTTTATACCAGCGGAACTATCAGATACATATGTGGACTCATGGACGAACCTATGACTTTAATCTATTGATTTTTTTTTTTTGAGGGGGAAAAGGGAAGTACAGTGATTTGAAAAGGGGTAATTTCAAATGGTTTAAGAAAGTGTCTTTGTCTTACTAGGTCTAAATTATGCTTCTGATTCATTTGGAAATCACACCCTATGTCCATAATCTATTTGCATAAGTACTCACCTGTTATAAAGTTTGGTTGACTTCCGTGCATGGGCTGAAGTGTTTGCCTAAGCATATTAAAGCCAATGAAGGCATTAATTTTAACGAAACTTTATCTGATGATAGGAATACTAAACCTTTTCCACCTGTCGAATATTTTTCGTAGTGAGGAATGATGTACTGTCAGTGAACGATCTAATTCACATAAGATACACAGTTTGTGTATTTTTGGGGAGATAATTGTAACAGTGTATATAAGACCTATGTTATATATACTGGTTAGGTAATTTATCTAGCTGACATTAACTAATAATCGGAGGTGCCATGTTGCCTGGCACACCTACTGTTAAGTATATACCTGCAGACTGGTGTCTAATTTCTTCTATGGAAGTAGTTATATACTCTTCCTTCAGTGTGTGTGTGTGTGTGTGTGTGTGTGTGTGTGTGTGTGTGTGTGTGTCTGTGATTATTATTATAATCATGGGGGAGCGCTAAACCCATAGGATTATATAGCGCATTGGGGGGGGATGGAAGGCATTCAGTCTCAATTCAGGGAACTGGAGCATAGATAAAACTCCCTAGATCAAGAGCCCTGTGGAAAATACTGTTTATATTTTCCAGAAATTCAGTATTTATATGTAAATGGATGGCCATACTGTATTTAATAATATTTATGTCATAGAAAACGGAAAGCCTGCGTCTGGGCAGAGGAGACTCGCCATCTTGGTTATGAATTTTGTACAAACGTTGGTGTAATGGGAAGAATTTTTCGTGCTCTAGAGGTTAAAATTGTGTTGACACCTCTCAAATAGGAGGCGAAATTGGTGGATGTGCATTCCTGCATAACTTGAGATATCAGACGACTGGACAATACAGCTCCAGGAACCTCAGATAAGCTCTCTAGATTTGTGTGTAATTCTATCCAGCATTATTTTCATAGATTTAGTTAGAGTGAGGTTTTCTGAGTATGATACAGGTTAATCTCCAGTCAAATTGGTGAGTGATATTAAGATATATTTTCCTTCTGTTATGTAATTGTGTATATATATAACCATTTATTATTTTTAATATACAGTCCACAAATTTATATATTTACCAGTATTCCTGATGTATGTATATTTCATTTAATTAATAGGTCCAGAGCAACTTGTGGTTATGACAGTGGTAGGTATCGAAGGGGGACATTTTTTGCGACCTAGGTGTCCCAAATTCCTACTTGTCTATGTAACATTGATAAATAATAATTATCAATGTTTATTTACTGTTATGTATATAATAATACTTCCAAGTAAATGCAATTTTCCGCAAGCCCCTCACCAGTATCAAGGACCCTCCCTTGAGGGGCGTGTGTGTGTGTGTGTGTGTGTGTGTGTGTGTGTGTGTGTGTGTGTGTGTGTGTGTGTGTGTGTGTGTGTGTGTGTGTGTGTTTTACTCACCTATTTGTACTCACCTATTTGTGGTTGCAGGGGTCGAGTCCTAGCTCCTGGCCCCGCCTCTTCAACCGGTTGCTACTTGACCCCTCTCTCTCCCCGCTCATGAGCTTTATCAAACCTCGTCTTAAAACTGTGTATGGTTCCTGCCTCCACTACGTCATTTTCTAGGCTATTCCACTGCCTTACAACTCTATGACTGAAGAAATACTTCCTACTATCTCTCTGACTCATTTGTGTCTTCAACTTCAATTGTGGGCCTCTTGTTTCTGTGTCCCCTCCCTGGAACATCCTGTCCTTGTCCCACCTTGTCTATTCCACGCAGTATTTTATATGTCGTTATCATGTCTCCCCTGACCCTCCTGTCCTCCAGTGTCGTCAGGCCGATTTCCCTTAATCTTTCTTCATAGGAAAATTCCCCTTAGCTCTGGAACTAACCTTGTTGCAAACCTTTGTACTTTCTCTAGTTTCTTGACGTGCTTTATCAAGTGCGGGTTCCAAACAGGTGCTGCATACTCCAGTATGGGCCTGACATACACGGTGTACAGTGTCTTGAATGATTCCTTACTAAGGTGTCGGAATGCTGTTCTCAGGTTTGCCAGGCGCCCATATGCTGCAGCAGTTATCTGATTGATGTGTGCTTCCGGAGACATGCTCGGTGTTATACTCACCCCAAGATCTTTCTCCTTGAGTGAGGTTTGCAGTCTTTGGCCACCTAGCTATACTCTGTCTGTGGTCTTCTGTGCCCTTCCCCTATCTTCATGACTTTGCATTTGGCAGGATTAAATTCGAGAAGCCATTTGCTGGACCAGGTGTCCAGCTGTCCAGGTCTCTTTGAAGTCCTGCCTGGTCCTCATCAGATTTAATTCTCCTCATTAACTTCACATCATCTGCAAACAGGGACACTTCTGAGTCTAACCCTTCCGTCATGTCGTTCACATATACCAAAAATAGCACTGGTCCTAGGACCGACCCCTGTGGGACCCCGCTCGTCACAGGTGCCCACTGTGATACATCATTACGTACCATGACTCGTTGTTGCCTCCTGTCAGGTATTCTCTGATCCATTGCAGTGCCCTTCCTGTTATATGCGCCTGATGCTCTAGCTTCTGCACTAATCTCTTGTGAGGAACTGTGTCAAAGGCCTTCTTGCAGTCCAAGAAGATGCAATCAACCCACCCCTCTCTCTCTTGTCTTACTTCTGTTATTTTATCATAAAACTCCAGAAGGTTTTGTGACACAGGATTTGCCTTCCGTGAATCCGTGCTGGTTGGCATTTATACTCCTGTTCCGTTCCAGGTGCTCCACCACTCTCCTCCTGATAATCTTCTCCATAATTTTGCATACTATACACGTCAATGACACAGGTCTATAGTTTAGTGCCTCTTTTCTGTCTCCTTTTTTGAAAATGGGAACTACATTTGCTGTCTTCCATACCTCAGGTAGTTGCCCAGTTTCCAGGGATGTGTTGAAGATTGTGGTAAGTGGTACGCACAACATATCTGCTCCCTCTCTAAGGACCCATGGAGAGATGTTGTCCGGTCCCATTGCCTTTGAGGTATCGATGTCCCTTAGCAGTTTCTTCACCTCCTCCTCCTCATCTGTATGTATGTCGTCCAACACTTGTTGGTGTATGTGTGTGTGTGTGTGTGAACAGTGTAAACTTTAACACAATGCTACATCATTTCATTATTTCACATCAAGAAAGCTTTCCAATATGCTTGTAATACTAAAGTAAAATCAGAAAGTTATTCCCCCCAAAATATAATAATTAACAACGATGGTGTAAACTTATCTTTAAAGGAACTACCATAGGAAAGTTTCCATATGGTGCTGGTAATTGTGGGACCCAAGAAGTGTAGTAATTCAGAACATTTGTTATAGAGAATTATCAGATCAATTACATCACATTTCACACCGGAGGAACATGGCTGGTGACGGTGCGACCTTGACTGACTGGGAGATATGAGGCTGGTGACTGTGGGTGTGGCTGGATGGAGGTATAAAGGCAGGCTGGAGGCCAGGGAGGTGACAGTGTCTGCTAACCATCACAACAAGCTAACAACATGTTCACCTCTGTGAGTACTACTCAGCTTAATATACAATGTTTCTCAAGCTTATTAAACAATGTGCACGTTGCAAGGATGTATTATCATAGTTTCTCATATTTATATTAATTATAAAATATTAAGAAGAACACTTTTTAGATAGGCTGGCAAACAAAAACTAAAATTACTGGTACATAATTTTTATTATCTTATTCAGTATAATTCATTATGGGACTTTTTTTTTAAACAATTGCTCACATTTACATGATTCGTTGGTTTGAAATCAACTATAATATGCTCGCACCAGACCATTGTTTCCTTCTGCAACTGGTTTAAATCTCCTTTCCCTTCAGTGTTACCTGAGACACAGGTTATTGAAAGAGATAGTCGAGTATTTCAATTATTACAGCATAAAACTATTATATATCTTTATCTGTGCAGGTGTTGTTGATGTGCATGCTGGTGGCTGCTGGTGTGGCTCTTCCAGTGGGCTATGATGTAGGTATTTAGTTACTGTGTTGTATTAAGTGAATTAACATGGGTAATGTTTGTGTTAATTACGAGTGGCACTAACCTTGTATATTCTGTTCCAGGTACCCATCCCTTACAACTTTAATTATGGGGTGAGCGCGGGAAACACCAACTTTGGTCAACAGGAGAGTGGTGATGGTTCTAACGTCAAGGGTACATACTATGTGAACCTTCCTGACGGTCGTGTGCAAACTGTGGGTTACTGGGCCGATGGTAGTGGTTACCACCCAACAGTGACCTACCAGGGCACTGCTAGTTATCCCAGTTATGCTCCTTCTTACGGCTACCACTGATATTCATATATATTTTATTTACTCTTCTTTAACCATCATTAAGTAAAGTTTCCTCGTAAGATCAACAAAAATGGTTGAAATATACTTTAGACATTTTTTCAGGCTAGAACAGAATTACTTTTTACTAAGCTAATTCTTGCAGTGACTATTATCAAGAGCGACTAAGCCACAAAATGTCGTAAACTCAACCTGTCTCGTAAGGACTGACTACTTATCTCGTGTACATTTTCTTGGTTCTGTAAATTATATTAATACTGTTAATAAAATTGAAAATGTAAGGTAATAAGTTTTTCTCCCTCTATCAACTTATTGTTGTAGATCGATTAAATAATCTTTTTCACAACTTCCAGGAAATTCAGTGATGCAAGTATTGACTTGCTCAGCAGCTGAAGTGTATAATAAAGACTCACTGGAATAAAATATACAGGACGGAATATATCCATTGAAGTCAATTTTTTTATCTTTGCTTCTTTGAGTCCATTATTCTGCTACAGTCATCCTCCTCTCTGTTCATTATTTCCATCTTACAGTGTTTGAAGTATATCGTCCATTTCCTCTTTGAAGTCTTGTAGTTGTACATTCTTCTAAACTCTTAATCAGGTTCGTACTCCAGACACTATGAACTTAAACTGTTGTTTCCCATCTACCTCCTCTTTCCTCCTCCATTCCTTATATTTTCTATTTTTGACTTCAGCGGCACATTTATTGTGCTGCAGCAGTTCATCTTAAAACTGTAGTGCATACAATGGAAGGATTAAAAAGGTAACACTGTGTCTGTATCAAATCTCATTTGACACAGGTATATATATTGGACAGTGGAGAGTCATTTTATGTATTAAAGTCTCGTTATATGGTTAATTAGATGTGTTCCGATGGCTACATGATCCAAGCCAATAATCCGATATAATTGTATCATTATGCACACAGTGGCTGTACCTTAAGAGACCCAGGAGCTGTAGTTCAGCACTCTCATGACTTCCTGGAGCTGTAGATCAACGCCTAGAGGCCCAGAAGCTGGAAATCAATCCAGTCAAACTCTTCCAATTTATGACTGATATATGTATATAGCTCTTCGATACCAGTCTAATTTTTTTCGCATAATCTTATATACATAATTTTCATCTGTTACGTTGGAAGATGTGGAGATAGAAAGACAATAATCGTTCTTAGGAAAGTATGTTACGTAAGGTTCGTCAGGAAACACAAGTGTTTCCTGACGCGGGTCTTAGATGACCCATTGTTGGAGCCTCTGGTCATTTGACAGGTCTTCAGTTCCCTTACCTGTCCACCCCTTTAAAAATTGTGGTTATAGTTATAACCATTTGATTTTTGAGTTACGAAAGTTCATATGTATGTAGGTTAGGACTCGTCATCAAGACAGAAAAATAAATTTCACTATCATATGGACACTACTGATATCCTAGGCCAGAGGAGGCGCTAGAAATAGCAGTTAAATATTTTATAAACAGCTTAAATTAAGCTTTATTTTATGATTTGTTGGACTTATAATAAAAATTATTGTTTCCTACACGGTTAGAAAGATTTACATACAAAATAATACTGTGTGGACATGAAGCTTTATGACTTTCCAAATAAACTTTTAGCTGTCTTCGAATCCAAAAATTATTAAAAGATAAAAATTGTCTGAAAGTATTACAAAACTTCAGTTATTGATTACATTTTATGTAATCTATTATAAAAGAAGAAAATTATTCCAGATAGATAATGTTACTGTAACTATATGGAGTCAAAATATAAACAGTTTAAAAGCAATTATGTTGAGGCTTTTGTGGGATTTCCCTTTAATAGAATATCTAAAAACAAAAAATGTATTAGAAAATTCGACTTAAAGTATATATTAGCTCTCCCAGAGTATATCTATTAGGCTACAACCCCAAACGGAAATTTCAATTACTCAGATATGGAAAATTTGAGGAAATTACAACTGTACCAGGGTATAATACAAATTCTAAACACACAACTGAGCGAAAAACTAATGTGAAGGACCTGGGCGTGATAATGTCAGAGGATCTCACCTTCAAAGACCACAACAATGTATTTACTGCATCTGCTAGGAAAATGAAAGGATGGATAATGAGAACCCTCAAAACTAGGTACGCCAAGCCCATGATGATGGCTTCCTTCTAGGCTGGAATACTGCTATGCAATAACTGCCCCCTTCAAGGCAGGCGAAATTGCTGACCTGGAGAATATACAAAGAACTTTCATGGCATACGCAAGTACGATAAAACACCTAAATTCCTGGGAACTGTAGAAGTCCATTGATTTAATATTCCCTGGAACGCAGGCGAGAAAGATACTTGATAATATACACTTGGAAAATCCTAGAGGGATTAGTACCAAACTTGCACACGAAAATCACTCCTTACGAAAGCAAAAGTTTTGGCAGGAGATGCAACGTTCCCCCAATGAAAAGCCGGGGCGTTACAAGTACACTAAGAGACAACACAGTGTCAGGGGCCCAAGATTGTTCAGCTGTCTCCCAGGGGGATTACCAATAGACCCCTGGCTGTCTTCAAGAAGGCGTTGGACAGGCGCCTAAAGTCAGTACCTGATTAGCCGGGCTGTGGTTCGTACGTCGGTTTACGTGTGGCCAACAGTAATAGCCTGGTTGATCAGACCCTGATCCACCACAAGACCAGATCTCAGACCGGGCCGCGGTGGCGTTGACCCCCGAAACCCTCTGCAGGTATACTCCAGGTAACGGTGCATGACGCATCACTGAGACGAATGTGACAAAATTCTTAATTGTTAAGATCTGTAGTAATGTTCCAGTGCACGTGTAAGACATGAAGTAATCACCTCAAGAAATTAAGGAAAATATAGAAAAAAGTCAGCAACAACGGTTTAACTGTTATATAAGTTTCTTTCGGGAATCTATATTTTTTTGTTATAAAAGTCATCAACATGGCATATCAAAAGCACATATTATAAGGCATTTATGAGATATAAAAATGTAAACATGAGTTAAAATGTATTAAAAATGATCTCAAAAGCTTTTATTTTTATTAAGACATCGGGAGCATTATGGAAGGTCAGAAAAATATAGTTTTGTTAGTATTAAGTTATTATTATTATTATTATTATTATTATTATTATTATTATTATTATTATTATTATTATTATTATTATTATTATTATTATAAAAAAGAAGCGCTAAACCAGTATAAAGTTATTACTTTAGTGCTCCAGAAAGTTAACTATGATATCCATCATTTTTTTAATTAAACTGGTAAAATGGCACATACAATATTTTTTATTTCTCAAATTGGATGCGTCAGCAATGTACGTATATTTTTTTATATGATAGCTACATGGTGGCAATAAAACTATGTTTCCCCTTCATGTTCCATGATGAAGGATGAGGCTTATACAAAATGTTGAAATGACTGAGCTGGAAGCCTTAAGTGGGTCAATGAAGATTTCATTTTGAGTTCAACAGCCACAGCCACTTCAAAGGTTTCGTTCAAACATAGCTGGAGTTACTATCGCTTGGGAACTGCCATGTCTTGGGATAGCTTTTCCATGCTCAGGAAAAAATATAATTTTTAATGAGATATCGCCATCATACCCGAATGGGGAGCAAGAGACTTTGTGCGTAGGAGACAGGAAAGAGAGGAGAGAGAGGACTCTGGATGTCATCAGAGGTACATAAATGGGATTTTAAATGTTTATTTAAATGTTTATTAATCTATTGTATTACTCATTTAATTACTATATGTACTGATAATTGTTGTGTGTAAGTGAAACTATAGTTATAGTCTGGAACGGATTAATTGGATTTACATTATTTTCTTATGGGAAATATTGCTTTGACTTTCGGCCACTTCAAGGCTGAGCTTCTGGAACGGATTACGGCCGAAACTCGGGGTTCCACTGTATATCTAACTGTAATTAGAGAAAGAGAGAAGCGGGGTGGAAAAGAAATATGCATGATATATCTACCTACATATACTGTATATAGTACTGTAACCATGAACAAGTAGTATTTAATCAATAACAACACTGCGACTAGCTGGAGGATCGAACCCGTGTAGTTTTAGCCCGTCTCGTGGTGAGCGAAAATTCACGACGCTCTAACTCAGTGATTCTCAACCAAGGGTAAAAAATTACATGGCAAGGGTAAATATTTGATGTACTTCATAATTGAATAATAATTCAATTAAATTTCATTTTGTAAAATGTGTGTGTGTGTGTGAGAGAGAGAGAGAGAGAGAGAGAGAGAGAGAGAGAGAGAGACAGAGAGAGAAAGAGAGAAAGAAGGCTAAGAATGTGTGTGTGTTTCTGTTAGGTTTTATTTTTTGTGATATAAAAATCTTTGAAAGGGTCCTAAGAAGCAAGATCACCACCCATCTAGATACCCGTCAGTTACACAACCCAGGCCAACATGGGTTTAAAGCAGGTCGCTCCTGTCTGTCTCAGCTACTGGATCACTACGACAAGGTCCTAGATGCACTAGAAGACAAAAAGAATGCAGATGTAATATATACAGACTTTGCAAAAGCCTTCGACAAGTGTGACCATGGCGTAATAGCGCACAAAATGCGTGCTAAAGGAATAACAGGAAAAGTTGGTAGATGGATCTACAATTTCCTCACAAACAGAACACAAAGAGTAGTAGTCAACAGTGTAAAGTCTGAGGCAGCTACGGTGAAAAGCTCTGTTCCACAAGGCACAGTACTCGCTCCCATCTTGTTTCTCATCCTCATATCTGACATAGACAAGGATGTCAGCCACAGCACTGTGTCTTCCTTTGCAGATGACACCCGAATCTGCATGACAGTGTCTTCCATTGCAGACACTGCAAGGCTCCAGGCGGACATCAACCAAATCTTTCAGTGGGCTGCAGAAAACAATATGAAGTTCAACGATGAGAAATTTCAATTACTCAGATATGGTAAGCACGAGGAAATTAAATCTTCATCAGAGTACAAAACAAATTCTGGCCACAAAATAGAGCGAAACACCAACGTCAAAGACCTGGGAGTGATCATATCGGAGGATCTCACCTTCAAGGACCATAACATTGTATCAATCGCATCTGCTAGAAAAATGACAGGATGGATAATGAGAACCTTCAAAACTAGGGATGCCAAGTTCATGATGACACTCTTTAGGTCACTTGTTCTATCTAGGCTGGAATATTGCTGCACACTAACAGCACCTTTCAAGGCAGGTGAAATAGCTGACCTAGAAAATGTACAGAGAACCTTCACGGCGCGCATAATGGAGACAAAACACC